GGCGACGTGTGCAAGCTCGACGAAGGGCAAACGGGTGCGCTCCACTACCACAACATCCGAGCATCGACCCACCGCGGCGCTTACGTCCCATGCCAGAACGACTACACGCAGCGATACCTGCAGCAAACGGCCGTCCAAGAGGCGCTGCATCTGGCCGACAACCACGTTGACTGGACATGGTGCAACATGGACATTGCGCAGAACTACCATCGCACGACGTCGACGCTGGACAAGTACCCCGCCATACTAAGCGCCGGCCTCAAAACGCTCATTTACAGCGGCGATGCCGATGCCAGTGTCAACTTTATCGGGACCCAACGGTGGATTACAAAAGGCCTCCAGCTCGCCGTCCAGACTCCTTGGCACGCCTGGTTCGCCCCGGACAAGCAGTTGGCTGGGTTCACGGAGCGGTACACCAACTTGACGTTTACCACGGTCAAGGGCGCGGGGCACATGGTCCCTGCAACTCGGCCCTTGCACGCCGTGTACATGTTTGAATGCTTCATTTATGGCGATGCGGCCTGCGCTACGTTCGACTATCCCAAGGACGAGCTCGAGTACTTGAGTGGCGCCGATTTGACGGCCCCGAGCGACATTTCCCAGCCAGCTACCGGGCGGCGCAACCTACTCTGGTGGGCGCTGGGTGTTGTGGTCGTGATCGGAGCCGGCGTTGCTGGTACGGTGTTTTTCTTGAAGCGGTCGCACAAGACCAAGCAGTACGTTCAACTGTCCACGGGTGAAGCCAAGCCAGTGTACTCGCAGTAGATCATTGTCCCGCCCCCAATGCCAGCGGTTTATCGATCAAACTCGATGAGGTTGTTGTCGACTTGGACTTTTCGAATGCCATGGGAATGAAATCGGACTTTTCATGCAGCTGGATGAAGCCCTTCGTCGTCTGTCTCGTCGTGTGGGGGCACAATTGAGCCGCAGCCAAGACCGGCTGGGCAAAGTTTTTCATCTTGGCTGCCGTCACCGTGGAGTGCGCCCACTAGGCAGCTTTGCATAAATCCCCCGTGAGGATGGAGCAGGAGACATCCCCCATACGTTGCGCTCCGCAGCATTCACATCGCCTTCGCCCCATTGCTGCGCTGGGAGAGCGGAGTCAGCGTGGTGCTTGCTTGGAAAGGCTGCACGATCTTCCCTTCTATGGGACTCCAGTGCGTACAAATCGTCGATTTTTGACAGATATTTGAATTTTTGGTCAGGTTTCATCACTTTTTCACGCTTTCTCCCTCAGTTGTCTTCAAATCGTCCAAGTCGAGGTTGCCGAGAAACAGGTGATAACTAGACGAGTGAGCCGTCTCAGTGCGTCACGGCGGCCGTGGGCGAAGCCACGCACTCATTCCGCCAACCTCCCCGTGATGTTCCGAGCTTGCGCGATCGCCACCACGGCGCTTGTCGCGTCTGCATGGGGCGACTCGACGCTGCACAAGATCACGTCGCTTCCTGGCTACAACGATCCCAAGCCCATCAACTTTGACCAGTATGCCGGCCTCATTGCGCTGCCGAGCAATGGCCAAAAGATGTTTTACTGGCTCGTCGAGTCGGAATCGAGTCCGTCGACCGACCCGTTGGTGCTGTGGCTCAACGGTGGTCCTGGCTGCTCGTCACTCGGTGGGTTTTTCACCGAGCTGGGTCCGTTTGTCGTTCAGAGCGACATGACCGTCAAGCGCAACCCGTACGCGTGGAACCGCAAGGCGAACATGGTGTTTCTCGATTCGCCGGCCGGCGTCGGGTTCAGCCAGCCTGTCCTGAACGCGTCCGACTACCATGACGACGTGACGGCGGCGCGGTCCCGCGAGTTCCTCGAGCAATTTCTCGCGCTGTACCCGCAGTACACGAATCGCGACTTTTACATCACGGGCGAGAGCTACGCCGGCATGTATATCCCGTTCTTGGTGCACCAACTCGTAACGGAGCCGGTGGCCGGCCTCCACTTGACCGGGTTCGCCATCGGCAACCCGTACACAGACCAAAAGATCGACGGTAATGTCGTGCGACCGCACCACCATCCATCCTCACACGTGTGGCTCATGTAGGCAAAGCCTACATGGACTACTATTACACTCACGGTCTCATCTCGATCGAGACGTACCGGGCGGTCGAACGCGACTGCAAACCCACCGAGTGGTGGCTATGTCAGTTTAACCACCCTGGGTGCTCGTCGCAGTGCGCGGCGACGTACGACGAAGCCGTGGCCAGCGTCGACCTGGAAGATTTGAACCCATACTACATCTATGGCGACGTGTGCCTGCTCCAAGGCAACCAGTCGCAAGTTCTCAAGTATCATGACGTGCGCCCGCTCACCCACCGCGGCAAGGTATGGCCGCTTTCACAGCCTATTTTCTCGCATGACCTGCGTTGCTCATGCGGCTTTGTACAGATCCAGCCGTGCACCGACTCGTTCACGACCGTGTATTTGAACCAGCCGAGTGTGGTCGAAGCGATCCATGCCACGGGCGGCACGACGCCGTGGTCAGACTGTAACCCCGCTGTCAGCCGCCAGTACACACTCAGTTTGACTTCACTGGACAAATACCCGACGATTCTCGCCGCTGGGTTGAAAGCGCTCATCTACAGCGGCGACGCGGACGCAATCGTCAACTTTCTCGGGACGCAGCGCTGGCTCGCCACCGACGTCGGCCTCAACTTGACTGCCACGGAGAAGTGGTCGAGTTGGTTTGGCCCGGACAAGCAGCTCGCGGGGTACACGGAAACCTACGGCAACGTGACGTTCAAAACGGTCAAAGGCGCGGGCCACATGGTCCCAGCGACGCGCCCCCTCCACGGCCTGTACATGTTTGAATGCTTTTTGTACTCGAACCGCGCATGCACTGCGTTTGCGTACCCCAAGGATCCGTCCGAGTACTTGAGTGGCGCCGACTTGACCGCTCCCGAGCAAGACAATCGCCACGTTGAAGGCGCCGTCTGGTGGTGGGTCGGGATCGCGGCCGCGGTCGCCGTCGGGATCGCTGTTTGTGTCGTCGTGTTCAAGTCCAACGAGAAGTCGCAGTACGCGAAACTCAACTCGAGCCCGTCCAAGCCTACCCACTAAACGAGTGGAAGTGTGCCATTACCAGACGGCCCGTCGATGTGGCAACTCTGAAATGGTCTCCATCAAGCATTCGTTTGAATTCGACGGTGGCTGGCCATCCTGGCTCGCCTTGGTGACTTCGTGTAACATGCAATGCACCACACTATGAACAGGCGGCGTTGCTTCTAGTGCGCATAGGATATCGTGGTGCAAGTTTGCAAGCGCATCGAAAGCATGTATTTGTGGTTGTGTTGAAGTACTAGCAACTTGGCCAACAAAACGACACAATGACGACTCCACGACGATGCGAGGTGTCGTGCAGGCGGACTGTCCAACGGCGGTGCGGAGGACGGCGTGAGCTCGAGAAACTCGCGCGCACCCGTTTGCACAATTGGAGCGTTGGTTGGGATAGTCGGGCGGAACTCGGGAGATGATCCAAAGGGAACCCATGCACGCCGGATCAACTGACGAAGCGCTTGACCTTGAGCTTTTCGATCCCCCCCGTGGCCGGACACACAGGCGACATACCTCTTGGCATTCCCCTCGTCGGGGAGACCTCCGGATGCATCAAACCAAGTCCAGCCGCCGACATCATGTCGTCATGGTTGACGTGCCGCCTGCGCGAGATCCAGCTGGTGCGTCCAAGTGGGCGTAACTTTCCTACCAAAATGTGGTCTTTGTAAACACCGGAGCGCATGACTTCCACCTCAGCGTCCAAAACGTGAAGACGAAGTGGGCCAGCTTTTCCTACTGAATCTGCATCAATACACCCCAAGAAGAACTGTAAACGAAATTGCTGTGGTGTCACGTTGGCAGAATAGTTTTTATCGGGCACCGCTGACTATCATCAATAGAATGCCATTCCCTGTTGCCATCCGCACAACTGCGCGTTTGGGCGATCGTCATGCAATACGACTTGGCCTTGGTCTTGTCGCAGCACAAGCAAAAATTGGCCCCCTCCGTCTTGGCGCTGAGGTCGCTCTGTTGGAAGTGCTGGCTCTTGGCACTGTCGCAGTTGCCGACTGTACTCGGTTTGTTCATGGTGGCGTCACACCAGCACATGGACTTCTTG